AGATAATAAATTTAGCACCATAGGTTAAGTACTTTCTAACATTTTGAAAATATTTTTGAACCATTTACAGTAATTTTACATTTAGATGTTTTTTTGTGGGTAATTTTTTTTTTTTGGTAGGTACTCTGTGGATAAAATTGTTAGAATACACAAAAATATTTGAAAATTTAACAGGTTTATTAAGAGTCTTACTTTGTGGTTTTAGAAAATAAAAAAATATGTTATGTAGTAATTTTTGTTTATAAAGGAATTTTGTAATCAAAATATGTTGACTGTATAAAAAAAATTGTTTAAAAGGTATAAAGGATAATAATATGTATATTTACAGAATATTTACTATGTTTCAGACTGTATAAATAGAAGAAAACCTTTTTTAATGAGATCCAAACCACTTGTTACAAAATAATTAAAATCGAACCCACCAGTGAAGATAACATAACCAAAGAGATATTATCATTTATGTGATAAAGAAAACTTTAATGATGAGTTTGACATTTTTATTACGGGAATAAAGAAAAAATGTATATAGATTTTAATTTGTGCCTAAATGCCGAAGATGAAACATTGGTTTCTTGGGAGTAGTAGACAATTGATAAATCTCTGAAGCAGTTTATAAGTCCACAGAATATTTATAGATGTCCTTCTTATGATTAACTTGGTGAGATTGAACTCTTTGGCTATTACATCTAAATCTTTGTCCATATAATAATTTTAAAAACATTCATCCGTATTTGAGCTATTTTTTCAACAATGCTTTTTCCCTAAAGATATTAAACCACCGAATCATATTCTATTAATGGTCTACAATTTTATGACACAGTTTTCTTGAATTACAATAATGAATAAAGACTATTGTCACCGACTTTTAAAATGATCTAAAGAAAATGTATAAAATGTCAAAATTACCAAAAATGAGAGCTTCTAAAGATAATATTTAACGAGTTAAAAGAGTTTTGAGAAGAAGGGTAACAAGCTAATAGGTCTGTATGAGGAGGGGTTATCTATAGGTTTGTTTGGTTTAGAGGGAAGAGAATAATTGTGGCAAATTTCCATTGAATAGGGAAGTAGGAGAATCGGAAAAAATATTTTAAAAGTTTGTTTTGGTTCAATTTGAATACAAAAGTGTAGGTTCGGTTTGGTTCGACCTTAATAATCAACGTTCATAACATCTCTAGTTAACACTTACAATATAAACACATATTTTTTAGACATGGCCTTGCAATTCATTTTATAGAGGTACAGTATTTGTTATAACTACTAACTCAGCCAAAAAAAATGTCATGTTTAATATGAGAATTGTATATGTATAGGTACTATTCAAAAATATAATTAATATCTTTCTTAATAAAATATAATATTAAATTTTAAACATAATAGGTAGTTATCAATGTACCATAAGATGTTAAAAAAAAAAACAAAACAGAAAACATAATTTCAATTAAATACAAATTTACTCTTTTTCTTTAGATACAACCTACATATTAAAATTTGTAAACAATATTTAAACACAATAAAATAAATTGAAATTATACTCAAAATACATTAGTTTTGAAATCAAAAAAAGAATAACTACAATATATTTAACTTTAATCAAACAAATTTAACTTTCACTAGTTTTACTGATTCATAAATTCTTTTTTATAACAATCTTTTTTTGAAATAATGTCAATTGAGACCATTTTCGACAATTAGTTAAATGACAATTACTCAACTCATGTTTAGATAAAGGAAAAAGATAAATGCTGCCAATCATTAATAAATTGATTTTTTTTTTTTTGTTAATACTTTATAAAAGGACAATAAACACTATTTTTAATAATAAAATATAATAAACAAGGACAAATAATTTTTTCACTCACTATTACTCATATTATGATAATAGTTAGACTATAAAAATTTGCTGTCTATTTCGTCTAGAAGAAAGTTATAATTTATTACTTGAAAAGGATAGTGCAATAATAATACTTATATATTTTCTATATTTGTATTATTCAAATGTTCAGGCTATGTATCAGTATCATCAGATATTAAAATGTTTTCTACTAATAAATTATTCATAAACTCACTATCCCCATTCAAACTTACAATTTCTACATATTTTTAGACTAAATGTGATTAATTTATCATGTAAGTACTAATTGTGTTTTTATTTATTATTTCATTCTCTTGGGATACATTTTGATTACATAAATTAAATTCAACTGAGTTTTGGGTTGAAGTACGGCTTTTAGGTCCGAGACAAATATATCAAAATATCAAAAAATTGTTTGCACATTTTTTTTTTTTTTGTATACTGTCCTAAAAAAATTTCCATCAGTCAGATTTTCAATTTTTTCATATTCAGTGCGTACACTTTTTATTTTGTTATACAATTTTATTTCTGTAGGTACCTGCATATTATTATTTGTGAAAACATGATTTTTGGTTTTTTATGTACTTATCTAAATATGTATGAGTGTAAATGTGAGAAGTGAATTATTGTATACATTATGTAAGTAATTCCAACTAATTTATGTTATTTCATAGATTAATTTAATAATTGCATTGTAAAAATTATACAAAATGTGAAGGTACCTACTATTCAAAATTTGATATTAATGTCATATTGAAAACTACTCTTTTCTTTATAACAGCTCTTTTTAGGCCCACCAAATTTCTAAATTCTTTACAAAATATAAAACAAATTCCACTATGTCTATGAAAATCTGTTAGAAAGTAGAGGTTTGCAGAGGACAGTATATAAACAAAATATCTATGAGACGTTTATTGATATTTTAACATTTATTTCTTAAAACCAAAAGCCATACTTCAACAGTTAAATAATGAAAACATCTATTAAAAAAATAAAATATGAATAAATATTTAATATCTAATTTATTATAACAAAAAAAAAATCTAGGAGTATCTGACACTAAGTAGTCAAAACATAAAATGTTTTGAACAACTGCGTCTCTTTTATTAAGTTTAAATTGATTGTTTTAAAAATATTTAACAAAACCGCTGTTGATTTATTTAGATAGTTAAAATATATACTAAACAAGAGATTAAAACAAAATATTTAAACATGTTAACCCTGATATAAATTAATATAGTATGAAATATTTACTTACATTATTACTATGGATCACATATTTATTTAGACTTCCTTCAATTTTCGTTAGGTTTTCTTTCTTTTTAAATAATGTGAAATACAATTAATTTATTTCTTCATCAATGAACTATAAGCAGAGTTCAGTTCGGCAGTTTCTATTAAACTAATCATTTATTACAAAATAATTATCTGACGCTTATGTGTGATAAGAAATCTGTAAATTTAATAACAAACAAAAAACAAATTTGGAATTAGATAATAATAATACATAGGTTTTAGTGTACTATATTAATATGTTATTTTATCATGCATTTAAGCATTGATTATAAATACTATTGATCGCTCATTTACCCGTTTTACGACGGCGTACATTCAGACTTTCGATAGATGGTGATATAATTATTATTATAACATAAAATTAAATAAATTCATAAATAATAATTTTTGTTAAACATCATGAAGGTCGACAATGGTCAGGGGAAACCCGGCTAATGAAAAAAAGCTTAATAATTATACAATGTTACTGTACAGTAAAAATTTCTTAATTTCTTATCGTATTTATGTTCATGTATTATTTGATATTACTCGTTTCACGAATTTTATAATATTGTCTGTTAGTCCAGTCATAGAGTATTAATTAAAATGCCTCGCGTCGTACTACCACACAAATATTACTCCAATACTCTCACCCGAACCAAACTTAAAAGTCAAATATCTCGTCAACGGAGTGAAGGAAATAAAACATTTTAACACCATATGTATTTTAAATAATACTCCATCTATTGATATTTTCAATAAAAGTTGTCATTTGAAAATCAAAAGTAGATTATCACTCCCAAAATTAAGGATGACCAAAAAAATGATAATATTATCCAGGGTGGGTAAAATTTCTATGATATCAGTGACACACAGAGGATTTACCCTCAAACCAATAGTATCACCTATCAACAATTACTTATTATTATCACTTAAAAGTCCTTATCTGTAGTCATACCTTTCCTGTATCTTATCAAAAGTGAAACCAATTGTGAAAAAATAAGTTTAAACTCATCATTCTTTGATAATAATAATATATTTTAAACATTATTGATAAATTAAAATTATTAAATACAACAGTAATATACTGTTGGTAAATTGCATATCGGAATTACATAACATTTAAAAACTGGGTAGGCTACAGACAAACCCAAGTGGGCTAAACCTACTCCAGCCAATCACTGTTTGCGTTATGTTTGTTACCTTATGAAATAATAATTGAAATACAAGTTTGGAGTCCTGAACATTCATCGCAATTTGCATTCATCGCAAAAAAGAAAAGTGAAAACAATATAGTTAATGATATAGGTAATAACTTTATATAAAATCAGGATTTACTATTACAATGTAACTACATAGAGGTCATCTTGCTAAAATATTTGATATTAATTTTAAAAATTCACTCTATATGTATACAATAATAATAATTTAATACATGCAATTTTAAATTTAGTGCAAAACCAAACATAACAAGAAGTTAAGTAGCTGAAAAAAGAATAATGATGAAAAGTGACAACATTCAAACTCAAATTTCGACAAAAGAATGGAGTAATTCATTTTTAATCAAATATTTATTTAGATATAAATTTTTATCATTTCAACTGTTTTTTTTTTATTGATTTATTAAGTTAATTGGAAGCCATCTATAAAAACAAATGATGGCAAATTGCATAAAACCAAATATATTTAAAAAAAAAAGATAAACAAGATATTGATGATGTCACAAAAATAAAGGAAACAGATATATACTTCAAAATACATTTTTCTCCAAATCAAAGGAAAATTTTGAATAATGGTAATTAATTAATTTTTTTTTTAGATATATGTACATATATATTAATAAAGCATTTATTTAAATTAAGGTAGCAGTATTATGATTAAAAAGTATAAATGTCCTATTAACATTATGGTCACTCAAATAAAAAATCAATATACTAGAAAGAGATTGTATTCCGAAAACAGGTAATAACAAATCCAATTGACACTATCTGATATAATTAAAAGTTATTATTATTTGATATGATTGATGTTACCATTTTCATGTTTTACATTTACCATGATTCTATCAAAAATAGAATATAAAACTTTTGAAAGTAGTGTTTATCAAATTGTATAATTCATACTATTGAAGTTAAAATGACAATCTACTGTTAATTATAAAAAATCCATACTATCTCTCATAGGAAAAAAACATTATTCATGTATTAGAATCCATATCAAATGGGTTTTAATAGCATAATTATATTTCCATACAAATATCATTGTTGTTAATTCTAAACCCCTATGATGTAATTTTAATCAATTGTACTAATTTTTTATTTGATTTCTAGTTCTGACTACAAAAGAAAATTATTAAGTAGGGCAATTAAATTCCTTCAGAATAAACAAATTACAAAGGAACCTGAGCCAAAACTACAAATTGTGAATAGTCATAAAATTCCAGTTCAAAGATCAGGTAATTTATCTTGTTATTATTCAGAAAATTATAATTATTGTTGTTACCTTACATTGTATGAACCAAATAACTCCCATATCACATAAAATCCCTACTTCCCACCAGTAACAATGGTTTGCCTATTGTGCAAATTATGTCCTGCATTTTACTTATATTGAAAAAAATATTTATTTATATATTTTGAAACAAAAAGTGAACCAAAAATTCATATTGATCTAATGACAATAAAACAGAAAACCTAATTTATCATGTTTCCTAATATTTATCATTGTATTTCCAAATTGTATGAAATATGTTTTTTTAATTAGGTGATGAAATTACAAAAAACATTCATGGAAATACTTCTTATTCTCAAGAAGTATCAATGGGAAATCATAGAGAAGAAGTAGCTAGTAAACTGTAAGACATTATTAATTGCTTATGTGTGCCTACAATCAGATAAATATAATTGCATTAGAATTTTAATATCTAAACTAACTACGGAATGCTTTAATATTAAAGGGTAAAAAAAAAATAATTCAATTTATACAACTTCAAGTTTTAATAGTTCATTCAAAAAATAATTTCTTTTAATATTATTAGTAATAATAATAACTATAATAATTGTAATTGTGTTTAATTTTAATAAGGTACATTAAATATTTTAATCAAAGGACTTGGATACAATTAACTTACTGAAATATTAAAATGTTACTGAAATCAATATTCTAGAATACATTTTAAATGTAACTTGTCCTAAACATTTTAATCTGTGTGTGTATTATGGAACTATAAGCCAAAATGTGTGTGGGAATAGATCTATGCAGTTGTTTTAAACCTGCAAAGGAGGCTGGTGCAATATTGAAAATCAATGTGTGTGTTTAGCGAGCATTAGTTTTTAAAAAAATTGTATTACAGCAAAAAAGTTGGAACACAGTTTTTGAATAGCTTCTTCTAGCAAACTTGGATGTTATTTTTTTTCTCACTTTAAAACATTATTATTATCCTGTACAAATTGTGCATTTTATTTTTGATAAAAAATATTTGATTTTTGGTAAATATTGAATTTATAATTAATTTTTATATGTTATATCATATAAGTGCCCTAAAAGTGTTAACAAAATTGTATTTATCCATAAATGTTTATTTCAGAAAAATATCTTATCACTTTATAAAATTTGAATTGGAATACAAGTTCGATTTTCTTATCATACTTTCAATACTTAAAGGTTACAATAACGAAAACTATATAATTTAGAAATCAATAATATTATGCATATTACAGAATTTACTATTACAGTGTAACCACACTGAGATCATCTTGGTAAAATATTTGATATTAATTGAAAAAATATTTACTCTATATCTACAATTCTCAAACTGTGGTAAGAGGTACCACTAGTGATATTAGGATAGCTTATAGACATTTTTTGATGAGTTTAAAAAAAAAAAGTTATAATTTATAATGCAGTTTATTAATCCATTAAATATTAATAAAAATAATAACCTTACATATTTAATTTTACTTTTGTGTATTAAATGATTATATTATTATGTAGTTTTAATAATAAAAAACTTCATACATGTAAAATAACCTATTTTTCAAAAAGTAAAAAAAAAAAAAAGAGTTAAATAATCATATAAGGTGGTATGCGAAAAATGTCCAAATGTGTTAATGGTACATGGTTATGAAAAGGTTGAGAACTGCTGCTCTATACATATTAAATGTAATAGTTATAATTTAATGTATATAATTTTAAATTTATTGCAAAACCAAAGTCTAACAGAAAAAAAATTAGAACAAAATATTGGTGGGGGGATGTTTGACACTATTTTATATAGTACCCTTGAACCCCAATACTTTTGTACAGATTCTTTTAGAACTATATATTTTATAACTATTAGATTTAATATCCTTCCAATTAAAAACTGTTTATGATCTTTATAAAGTCAATGACTTAACTGAGTTTTACTTTTATTTTGTTTTACAAAGTAATAGCCTATTGTTCTAAGGTTACCATAACTGCAATTCTTATTGTAGCTAAACTATTAGGTGCTTACAACTTTTGCTTACTACATGATTTAAATTGTATTAATTGATTCTTTTGATTTGTAGTTCCAAATTATTGAAGTCAGGTTTTAGTTCAATCTCAAATAAAGACAAAAAGAAGAGTATAAAATTGTTAAATTTATGTGAGCCAACAGATCAAATTTTTAATAATTTGAATATTGTATCTCCTGAATTAGGTAATTTACTCTTAGTTAAAAATTGCAATGTTTTATAATTGAAAAATTAATGTTTTAGTTTATTTTATTTTAAATGGTGAATCAACTTCCCTTGAAAAGGAAACTTCAACAGCAAATTTATGTGACCTAAAAAATCAAACTCTTAATAATTTGAATGTTTCATCACCTGAATCAGGTAATTTATTTTTATTTGTTCTATAAATGTACTGAGAATTTCTAAAACACTAATAACAATGGTTTAAGCTTTCTCTTGGTAGCCCTGACAAGTTTATTCTACAACTATTGAATAATATTTAACATTCACTATATATGCACACCAGTGTTAAATGATATATCAAATTACTCAAACCCCAAATTTTTAATTTGTAACACTTCTATTTATTTACTATATTTAATTTGTTATCAATCTAGTAATCCAATATTTGACAAAACTGTCAAATATTTTAGAGATGATGTACTAGCTTTACTAACAAAATTTTGGTATTACAAAGAATATATATATCTCATTTATAATGATATATTAAAGTGTAATAATGTGGCTACTATGTGTTTGAAGAGTTAAGAAATCTGTATTTCAATTCTCAATTGTAAATATTTTTTTTTACTTATAACTTATTTCAAATAAGTAGGTATTTTAGATTTATAGTTAAGCTGAACAAATTTTTTACTAAGGTTGGTTTTTCAACTGTCATTATTATTACTATCAGCTATCTTACAATTAGTTAAGTTAATTTAATTTTGTAATATAAGTTACTATTTAGGCTGTCCTCTTAAATAATAATACACAATTATGGTTTGTTTTGAGTGACAGGTGCTCTCAACCACTTGAAAATTAATTGTCATTACANTGTTTTGTGAAATCTATGTTCTGTACATGATGTTTGGCATAAAGCAAACATAAAAAAATTATTTAATCAAATTGATGAAGACTTATATTGTCTGTTATAATAAATTTAATTAATTTGTACTTGTTTAGGTGTTGCTAATAAGGAGTATGAGATTGAAAGTATATTATATGATGACATATTTGACAATCAAACTAAGTACTTTATCAAGTGGAAAAACTATCCTATGGATCAATGCACTTGGGAACCCTCTTGCAACTTAACAAAATGTCAAGAACTTTTAAATAATTACATATCAAACAAGACAGCTAAAAAGAACATAAGAACAACCGATAAATTTAAAAGACTATATGAATCACTTTTATCACACACCAATCAAGAATACATTAAAACGCTACATAAAATAATTGCAGACGGTTTTCCATCTTTAGACAAAGAGTCTGTATTAAGTACTATTGAATATTTATCTACAGTTTCTCCCAGTAGTCAAAGTAAATGCTTAATGAAGCTTGTAAGACATAATTTAATGTTAGTTGAAGTTAGCGAGAGAAGACAAAAACAGTTAGAAAAGTTGGATGATTGGCAAAAGACAATGAATATAACTTGCAATTTTAATATATCTGTTCTTAACACTGTAGACTTTGAAGGACCTCCTAACAATTTTGTTTATATTAATGAATGTTTTGCTGGTGAAGGTGTGATTATTCCAAATGATCCACCCGTTTGGTAAGTAAAATAGTTAACAAAATGTGCTTATTTTAATAATAATTAATTCTAATTTATTTATTTTTTAATTTAGGTGCTATTGTGATAATACATGTGGAGGAAAAGCATCTAAGAATAAAAATTGTCATTTCAGTGACTTTCCATTACCTTACAATAAGAAAAAATGTATCATAGTTCCTCAAGGGTCTACTATTTATGAATGCAACAAAAAATGTGCTTGTGATAGTAATTGTATAAATCGAGTTGTTCAGCATGGTCCAAGTAAAAATCTAAATCTCCAGATATTCCGAACAGATAACCAACGAGGCTGGGGAGTCAAGACCTTGATGCCCATAAAACAGGGGTCCTTTGTATCAAAGTATACAGGTGAAATAATAACTAAAGAGGAAGCTGATCAACGTGCTNATGACTGTGCTTATTCTATTGATGCGACTACTTTTGGTAATGTATCACATTTTTTCAACCATTCTTGTAATGCGAATCTAGCCTCATATGCTGTTTGTATTGATTGCTACGATTCAAATCTCCCAACACTGGCATTTTTCGCTTCTAGAGATATTGCTAAAGGTGAAGAACTGACATTAAACTATATGACTTCGGTCACAAATCAAAAGAGTAAAGTAAAATGTTACTGTCAAGCTGACAATTGTCGTGGCTTTTTATGTTAGCAAATTGTTATTAAGGGTATGTCACATGTGTTTCACACTCAGCACTATGTGCTACCTATGTATTTATCAGGACTGAACATTTGTTCTGCTAATTAAAAATTTGCTATTTCCTGTATTAGTAACATGGACAGACAGTACAAATGTTGAGTTAGAAATCCTTGTAAGATTGTAAATAATATAGATTTTAAAATTAGTATAAAAGGTTTTCCATTTTTTTTTTTTTTTTTCATTCAATTTTTCAATTATAAATATGTTTGTAGATTATCATTTTATAAATAATTTTTTTCAACAAAAACTTAAATTTGACTTATTATATATTTATAACAATAAGTACATAATATATTTTATATAATCCCTTATGCTGTATTAAAACTTGAAACAAAACAGGATATTTAACATTAATTAATATACATTAAATACACTAATTCTTTTTTTATTAAATTCAATATTCTGTATTAGTAATTTTGTTCATCTACCCAACTGTAAAATTAATTCAAGTTTGTGGTTATTATAATATTAGTCATTATTTTTTTATTTTATATTATATTATGTTATTAAAATCATTTCTGTAAACAGAGCCATTTAAAGTTTATTGCTTTTTTTAAAGGAAAATATATTTTAATCCAATTGTAAAATTAATTATTTATTATTATTATTTATATGAAATAAGTGTTGTAATTTTATTAGTAAACATATTTATAAATAAAATAATTTGTTAATAGAATTATATCACAGAATTAGCGTAACTGAGAATTTTAACAAAGAAAGACATTTTTAAAATTTAAAATAATAAACCATAAATGTCTCAAGTTCATTTAGTAGGAGTTAGAAACAATTTTAATTGTAAATCAAATTTCCAATAGCCTGAACATTGATGATTTGATCAAAGATTTTGTATTCTTTAATGCAAGAAAATTGCATTTTTAATTGAATATTGTTTTTTTTTCTCAGAAAACGCTTTTTTATTTAGTATAGATTCTCTTTACTTACTTACTCTGATTTATGTTTATACTGTTATAACATAGAATGGGAATTTTTCTCTTAATAGTATTTTTTTTTTTTTACATTTTTAATTGGATAGATATCAGCAAGGAATAATAAAAAATAATCAACTTTTATTTTATATATAATCATGAAATTTTTATATTTAACATTATAAATATCTAGTGCATAATAAATGAGAAATGTTTTATCTAGCATAAAATTGTACATTATATTCCAAAAATCAATGATTTAGTCATATTAATGTACTAATGACATACCTGTAAGATTCATATTCATATTCAAATAAATATCAATACTTAAAATGTAATTTAAATAATTGAAGATCGGTACCGATAATAAAAAGTTACATCAAACAGGCAAAACACAAAATTGCATGTATATTTAATATTTTAGTGCACTAAATTTGCAGTCCCAATATGATTCATCATGATTTTTGAGAGTAAATAGTTAACTTTTTTCATGTATTTCCTAATTCAATTGTCCAGTCACACACAAATTTAATTTATGTTTATGTGTCAAGTTTCAAAGAGTCCAAATAACAGTTTCTTGTGAAACGTTTTAGAATTCTTCATGTTACTTCTATATGAAGTTTGATGAAATTAAGCAGTTGTAGTAATATTGCGTTTCTGAAAAATCACAACTATATATATCTTTATTAAAATAAAAAATACAAGTTAACACAAACTTTAATGAAATAATCATTATGCTAGAAATAGATTTAAAGTATGTAACTTCAAGAAATCTATGGATTTCTGATACCTGAGACATCTATATTTAATATCGTAGGTCTCAAAATAAATAAATGTTTTAAAAACATGTTAATGATATTATAATTATAATATCTATTTTTTTTTTTTCTTAAATATCCGGTCACTTATATTTTTCAAATGAGAACGCACCAGGCTGTAGACGAAGCCCGGTTGAAACTCGCGCATGTCCGTCCCATTCCGTAGTTTTAGCCGCCGTAGGCCCCGCCACCAAGTATACACAGTATACACAGTATTCACACATTTAACGGACAATCGTACACGTTTACATATTAGTGTACAAACGAAAATAATGTTTTGTAGCGTGTGACAGGAGGCCGATATGGTACAGTAAATAATAAGAGTAGAAAATATATAGGTGTAATACGTTGTCAATAATGGTAGCCGGACCGGTGGCGACCAATTATTTATTCTGCGAGAGTAGCGAGTTGTTGCACCGATGCACAACACTGGTGTGTTCTCGTTGGAAAAACGGTTTATGTATTATATATAATAATCGTGTGTTTCTAAACTCAGCAGATTGGTCTGCTGCTTATCAATCCCTTGGAGAGGAAGTGATCAATTGGATTGCTTTATCAGCAATTTGATATTTTGTGGATGAAATAGTGTTTAACCTATAGACACATAAATATATGGGCTGCGCTTAGAGAGAGAGAAAATATCCACCTGTAGTATTGAAAATCAGTCAAGTCCTACTAACTGTCGGTTATAAGTCAGTGAAAACCCAGTCTTAAGATGTGTTAAATTTTTTAGTAGGTATAGTTTAAAATTCATAATTCACTTTGTTATAAGTAAAGCCACAAAAAAATCATTAATTTATCGGTATGACTTATTAGTATACAATGCTATGTGAATTAATGAGTTAATACAAGTAACTAGATTAAACTTGAACTTGATAATATGCAGAAGTCATATTATACTGATTTGAGGACCTATAGGAAAATATTTATATTTAGTGGCAATTCAAAAATTCAATTAATAAAGTTATCTAGACAATTAATATTTTAAATGATACATCCACAATCCCCAATTAAGCAAATTTTTAACATTCATCACTTAAAGTTTAGACTGAAGAAGTAGGGAAGGATAATAAATTGCATGATTGCACTCTACTCTGCTCCTCTGATCTAAACTTTAAACTGTTATAACTCATAAACGATAAATCTGATATTTGTTGTACACATATCAAAATATGTAGACAAATATTCTCTATTTAAATCTGTGTTCAAAAGGGGGTTCCTATTTGAAAAATAAAAGTGTATACTTACTTTAGGTACATGAAGTAAGCCGTAGCCGTAAAAAAAATTAAAAACAGTTTTAAAATAAATCTTAACCAAATCTGTAATAATTAAAAAATAAAAATCAAATTCACTTAAATTCCCCGAGTAAATTATTGATTTATCATAAAAAAAAATCACTCTGTAGATGAGAATTTAATGAATATCTGTAAGCAACAATAAATCATTACTAAAATCAAAGGATTCTGGGCAGAGCTCATTTATTGTCAACCACTAAATGCAACTTATAATGAAACTTTTGTTATATTTTCAAACATTTTTGTTTGGTCTCACCATTTTATTCACCAGTACTTACTGAATAAATATTGTGTAAAAAAACTTGCAAAATTAAAATGTCAATAAATAGCTCATAACTGCTAAATGTTTGGAAAATTTTTACAGAAAAGGCAAATACAAGATTTCTGTCCAAATTCTAAGTCTATGGATATTTTTAACTGAATCACAATAAAAAACAAAATTGAAAATAATACATAACTTAAATTATTCCGGATTTTCTCAATTATTATGAAAATGACTTCATTCAAGTATCATCCAGATAAAAATTTTTTCTAGAAAATGTACACTTGAAAATTGGGCAAGATTTCTGGTTGAAAAGTTGTTTAGATAGAAAAAAAATCATTACAACACATCATTATAAACTTAAAAGTTAAAAACATTCCTCGCTGCTTCTCCGTTTTTGTCCTTGTCTTTATGCCAAGGACAAACGTTTTCCAAATGTTGTTTTAATTTTGTAGGTCTCTTAGTTAGAACCATTCGTTAAAACTTTAACGCAAATGACACATTGAGATGTCTCTGCTCAACAAAGCTTTCATTGTGTTTGACAGCCAGCCCCGAGGTTTGAATATCACCGGCCACTAACCGGTCGTGTTATGGTTGATGGAAAGGACGGATGTATTAGGTGACCAAAAAAAAGAAATCAAGGTGGAATTTATATAATAATTAATATTTGTGTATTGGGATGAAAAGAAAACTTAAATGACTACAACAGTGGTGAAAAGGATGGGTGGGGGGGGGTTGCTTATTGCTGAAAAATACAGGTAATTCACTTATAACCTTAGGGGGTACAAATTAAATGAGCGGTACGCTGACCGTGAACCTGGTTGACGGTGGTAGTGCCCTGGACCCGGCAACGTGTCGGCGACAATTAACACTGAACACAAACGGGGCGACAACAATCGAACGGCGAACGGTCGGCAGCTACAAACCAGACGCGTATTGCGTAACGCGCGCGCGGCAGGTAGGTACCGAGTACCGACGCGCGACGAACCACGGAAGATATAGCGAAAACGGCGAGCGCGTGACGGACGCGGTGAACGGGTGGTACGGTTAACCGCACGGTAAACATAGTCGTGCGTATAAAACGACCTTTCTGGTCCGACAACAGCAAATATAATGCAATAACCATTGCTAACTAGCTTAAAATAAACATATACGGCGCAATAGAAACTCAACAAACAGTTGTATAGACTGGGTGGTGGCCGCTACCCGAAGCTGAAGAAACCGCCCGGCAAGAGTTAACGAAAAACGCACAGCACGCGAACTTCGGGTCAAGTTCGCAGCAGAAAAGATTAGGATTTTGAAAACAAACGGAGCCTACTCGAGCCTGCGTATCACTGGCTATTCGGGCCGAATAACAATTGAAATCGGTAGGCTGTGGGTGCCCGCAACAACCGGCGGCAATGCCGTGTGGAAAAACGCGCGCCCGGAGCGCGTCAGCGTAACGGACGAGACTGAACGGGCGAAGCGATAACGGCCGAGCAACGATTGTGACGTACACGCAATCTTATAATAATAATACGTGCGCACGGCGTATTCAGTGTTCCCACGGAACTTGACGGGGAACAGAGAGGAAAAAAAAAAAACAATAATTAAAACAAACGAAACTCAATCTAATAAATGTGAATGTGCGCGCGCTCGCCGAGGCACCGAACGCCGGCAATATTCATCGACGGTGCGTGTGTAATGTACAGGCTTGTTATGTGGCGTAATTTGGTCGGCGCGTCCGCAATTCGTGTTCGGCACAACGGACAGCGAAACTGAACTAGCGACAGTTGGAAATTGTTCGCGTGATCCCGGCAACAAAAAGTATGGCGACTATTCTGCTGGGGCATATACACGGAAGGAAATCGGACATGAAACGAATCGACCAGGTTACCGTCGCGACCGTTACTGAAGTTAAATTGTTAATTAATTCAACTCTGGATAGTCTGTCGTTCATTTTTTTTTTTTATATCATCTACATACATTTGAGGACCCGGTCTCAATAATCTTTAGGGAAAATGTTTCGTCACCAATTATTGTAAATGGTGATTTTTCAATAGTTCCCGGTAATGGTTTTCCATCAGGAATATTACGTTCGTTTCGTTCAAGAGCTTTTACTAAATTAGAATTTGAAAAAATACCTACGTCACTGTTTTTTACATAAGTTCCACTATCTACAGCAATATGTATGGTGTGCGTCAATTAATTAAAACTATAGAAAATGTTTTTTTTTTTTAAATTACAGTACACAGATCCGCTATTGGGAGATGCTGCTATAACAACACGTTTCCCATCTAAGACGCCTATACAATTTGGGAAATTTGAAATTTTCCGAAAATCATCAGCTAAATGTTACCAATTTTCTTTTTTTGGTTGTGGTATGTATTGTTTTGTTAAATTTTTTATGGTTGCTGTGCATACTTGTCGAAAATCGGAATTTTTAAATAACATTTATTTCATATTCTACATGAATATATATTGCACACAGTATACAGATTGCAATGAATGAAATCTCTACGCTCGGAATCTAAAAAATGACTTGTGCCATGAGAAACAAGACATACAATGAAACAAAATAGGTTCGTCATTTTTCGATTAAAACACTTTTCCTAATAATAAACGTTTTCCGTATTAATGTAAAATAATGATACAATTCCATATTCTATACGCTTGACCGTATTCTATTAAATAAACATAATTATCAACACGATTTCAATATTATCTTTAATATAGCCTATATAAATAATTTTAATTTAAATGCTATTCAAAAAATTCATAATCGCATCAATCACGTAATCATATTAGTATCAGTACGTTAAGTAATCGAGGAGGTGTCCGCAGGGGGCACAGGAAAGGGTCATAGTTCCCACTATTACTTGCTGATGATTGTGTAGCAGTGGTCGGCAACTGGCGGACCGCGGAAGACAAAACTCTTGACCCCGTCAACGCGCATTGTACTTGATTATGTTATTTACTGTAATAGTACCTACTATTTATTATTATATTATTTTATTACTTTTATTAATGGAGAACATATATGTCATTTCATTTATCAAACTCGGGTTATAGTTATATCATAATTCATTGCAAATATTTTATCGGGCAGGTAATAATCAGTTATGTCACGATTTTATCGGCCGGCGGCTTGGTCTCGGAAAATACCAAATATACCTAACCGACGACGGTAAATTACATTAATTGCTTATCGTTGCCATCCATTGAAATGGTAATCATTTTGATTATGTTCGTGTACATTCGCCTGTGGATACAGTGCGTGTTTCGTTTTATATTTCTTCATGTTCAGTAAAAAAACGTAAAATTGACAGCGAAAATAGGAAATTTTTGAATGAATGGACAGTATATTGTTTGACTATATTGTTTTGTATTATAGATTTGGAGCCATTCCAGTCTGCTGAATTTGCAATTCAACTGTCGCTATTGTTAAAAATGCATTATGAAACTACTCATAAAGATTTTCATACAGAATTTCCTCCAGGTAGTGAAGTACGTAAAAATAAGCTCCATGCATGTATGTTATCTTAAAAAAATATTACGACTACACTTATACGGTGTATGAGTGAACAAGAAAAATCAACTGAAGCAGTGTTGCGTGTGTGCTGGGTTCTTAATAAGCACCAAAAACCGTTTTCCGATTCCGAAATAGTAAAAGAGTGTTTGTTGGAAATGGCCACTGCACTATTTGAAGAAAATAAAAAAATTGTTACCTCTATTCAAGATATTCCTTTGTCGGCCAGGAGTAACACAAGGACAGACATTTTGGCAGCTGAAAACAAAAAAAAAGCTTGTTTGAACTTTTACAGATGTCACCGTGCTACGGCATTGCACATGATGAATCTTGTGACCTAATTGATTCTGAACAAATGTCAATTTTTGTGAGATTCTTTGACATTGAAAATAAAGTCTTTAGAGAAGAGTTACTAACAGTATTAACATTTAAAGGTAAGACTCGTGGAGAAGATTTATTAAGGAGTTTTGATGACATCATGACAAAATCGGATTTGAATTATGATAAAATTGTGTCAATTTCCACCAATGGAGCTCCAGCAATTTTTAATATAATATAATATTATTTCACTGGACCTCATTGGTTTATTATTTTAATCTTTAGGACTCCGATAGAAATTACTTGCCACCCCTGTTGTATAGGATTTATTTGTATAAAGTGGGTTATATATAATTTAGAACTTATAATATTTTATGATTATGTAAATATAATATAATATACATATTTCTATAATAATAATATATCAATATTTCTTCTTTTCTGTATTCAATTTTCTTTAGGAAGTCCTATAATTCATCACTAAAATTAAAATGATTGATAATTTAGCAATGGGTAAATAAACTTTCTTTTAAAAATTGCATAAATATGACACGTATATGTTGAACCACCCAAACCAATAGAGGTGAAAATAGTTAATGGAAAATCTAGTATTTTTAAGGTTATCTTTAGGAAATAACCTTTCAAATGCTAGTCTACATTCCCGGAGACAATCCATATAATATTCATATTTAAACAATTAAATTAAATAAATTAAATAAATTATAAATTTATAAATTATACTATCTTACTTACGAATTTTGAATTTTAGCATTTAATTTTTTGATTCCTATTTGTTCAGCTAATTCTTAAACATGATTCTTAATGTATATTCTAAGTTGAAAAAGTAGTTTTTTCTACATTAAGATGTATTATGGACAACACTGCCCAAGCAATAGAATCTGTAAATAATAAATTTGCAAACAATTTGGAATTGACTTGTTTCTAAATGGTGAACAGTAGCATAACTGTCAATGAAAATTGTTTGTAGTGGTTCAATAAAAACATTGTTTATTTGACAAAATTTTTGAAAAAAATATAAAAATAAATATTCATAAATTTATATTTTATAGGTCTTCAACATTATTTTTCTTCTGTGATGATATATAATAATATGAAAATAGTACAGATTTTATTTAGAAAACTCAAATACCACAGTTTATATTATAAAATTAGTTTAGAATTTCAAATATGTATTAATACAATTTTAAATTTAAATTAATTTTGAATTTTTTTTAACATGGCCCAAACAAATAAAATATAAAATGTCCCTTCTATCATATATTTATTGTACCTTAAGAATTACCAATATATATAAATAGAAATTATGTAATAGTATTTTATATGATTAATTTTGGTTTTTTCAAGTTTTAGCTTTGGGAAAAACACCTTCAAAGTATTCTTGTTGTGTGATTTTAGTATGTTTTTTGCCATGTTTATGTCTAATTTTCTAATTGTCATATGTCTTTTTTATTTAATCAAATTAATACAGCTGGTTGTGAATTGAAATTATTGACAGTAACCTTATTAATTTGAATATAAAGAGAATCTTTTATAGTTTCTGATGTTAAAGAACTTCTTCTTAAGGTTTTCATAATGTTACAACATGAAGTTAACCGTTCTACATCTGCAGAATGAGGTTTAGTGCGCAAATATTCTGGCCTGTAACAATAAAAATAATAAAAATGTTGGGCTCAAATTATTAAATTGTACAAAATAAAATTAATTACATACCAATGAAGTACTTAGTGACTTCCAGGTTTAATTTTTAACGCAATTTTTAAAATATTTATTGAAATATGGTTTCTAAGTTCTTCAACTGCGTAAGCCTCTTGATATGATGCAACAAAATCTATTAACTAATAATCTGGGTAAATTAATCTATGACAATTTTTAAGTTCATCAGCAGTAACAAATTCACTAAACTGTCTTAAGGGTTTTAACTCTAATAATGCAGAAGTATCTAAATGCTTATTGATGCAAGTCAAAATTTGTTGAATCGCATCATGACAAATAACTTTAAAAGAATGACTATCAGATACATGCAAATTATGAATTATTTTCTTTCTGGTTTGCAACATTTTATCTTGTAACTCAATATTATGCAAGGTAATTATTTGCACCGAATCTTCTGTATTTGAATAAACTAATTGTTTTTCAATTAATTCTTCCAGCCACCTGTATATACAGATAACTTTAAATTTTCAATCATTTTAATTAATGTATTTCTTTTATCTTCAAAGTCAAAAATAGAGATATCATCAGATTGTATTTATTTTTGAAATCTTGAATGCAAGTAACTAAAATCTACCATAAAGCACAATAATTTTAAGTTTTTTACATTAGTTAACATTTCGTAAAATCCAGCTGCTGTATTATTTTTGTCTTTAGGTATTTTCAATTTGAAATATTTCAACAAAATTCTCCAATTTCTCAATACAAAAATTAATAAATCATACATGAACTCTGTCCACCTTACTTCAAAGTATTTTGGACGATTTAGTATATTTATATTATCTTCATCAGCAATTTTAGTTATCTTGTTCTTATTCCAGATTGATGAAAATAATTTGATATTGATGAACATAGTTGTATACATTTTTTAAATTCAATAACATTTGTAGTTAGTGGTTCCCAAGCTAAAGCAGAATAGTTGGTAGACAGCACACCACATTTTTAAAAAAGGAGTTTCAATAGATTTATCGTTTCTGTTTTTTTCAAATAACGCCCAAAGACTTGTTTTATGTCCAATATTAACATTAGCACCATCTGTGACAAAGGAAGAAATCTTGGTTAGTATTTTATCCCATTAAAATAATTTACACAATGCAATTTTAATTGCATTAAAATGTCCTATTGCACCTTTAATTTCTGGTTTTTCAAAACCAACAAATGACATTTCTGGATCACCATTTTTAGTAATTATTTTAACTAATATGTGAATGTTATCTACTCTGTCTAGATGTTATTTACTACTCTTATCTACTGAGTTCGATCTACAGATCTGTCAACTCTTAAAGAAATTGCAAGACATTTATCTAATTTATTTTTAAGATTAATACCATCAGCCTGAACAATACATATTAAAAAATCTTTGTAATTAGTTGGATTGACATATTTTAAATTGCCTTCTTTCGGAACAAAAGGTTGAAATTCTTTAGCTAGATCTAAATTTTTACGTTTTAAGTCTACTATTTCTCGTAATGGCCCCATGACCAAGCACTTAATATACCACAGTTAACATTATTAAATATTGTACACATAAAACGACCAATTTTATTTGCTAACTTTTGGTTTTGTTGAGACATACATTTATCCGTTGCGAGCAATTTGTTTAATTTTATCTGCGATTAATTTAGATAGTTGAAATACTTTAACACATTCAATATGTTCAACTGACTGGAGATGGTTTTTAAAAACTCTATGTGAAACAGTATCTATAATAGTTCATTACGTATAGCTGGAATACGATTATTTTGCTTGAAATGCATTAATTATATTTGTTTATGGCGATAGAATATAGTACATTGTAACGTCCAAAAACGACCGTTTTCCGTTATCGTAGGACAAAGGTGCCTACAGTCAATATAGTCGACCGGTTAATACTTAACGTCTGCTGCGACGGATATTTTATGTTATATAAGTATTCGTTATTGAATGGTCAATAATCTCCCCCCTCCCCCCCCCCGAGAAAAGGTCAATGCCAGATCGCAATCTTTCGTAATTTACAATAATATTATATTTCTGACTACGGGTTAACGGCCAATCATATCACGATTCCTCTTATCGCTCAAAACGTCGGCCCGCGGCGACGTGTGTCACGAACGTCTCGGCTCTCCGCTACCCAGTTTGTTTTTCGTGTCCCGAGACCTCGTCATCGTTCGGTCACTTAATACAGTTTTCTTTGTCTAAAACACTCCCGCGCACTGCTGTGCGAGTACGCATATTTTTTGCCATTGAGAAAGGTCGCATACCCAGGCATGTGTCCTGCCCTGACGGTGCCTCAAACGAACTAATGGAGTGAGTCTCCTGATCGAGTCCGCTGGGCGGACATCCTCGGGCGTGATGTTTGGTAATGCGTATGCAGTTGAATAATTGGCCTATACCCCGTTTGTTTAGGTAGTTTTAAGTTGGTTTAGTTATTGTCCCCCCCGTCTATTAAGTTTGTGCGTCCGTCTCGGTGTAGTAATCCCCGCGTTCCTCGTCCTGTGTGCAATAGGCAAACTCCCCCCCCCGCATTTTGTTTCTTTTTTTTTTTTGTTTTCCTTTTTAGGCACTCGGCTCCACGAGTGTGTGCGTATTTAAAAATGCTATTTAATATCGATCGATTTCTGCATCTCGCGATCCGTGTTCGGACGCACCCCGCCGGTTAACCCGTTGGGCCACCGTAACCACGGACCAATCAATCTAGAATAAAAGCTTTCAGCTACTCTTCCCGGTTGTGTAATATGTGTGATTTGGCAAACATCACATCCCTGCTGGGGTTTCCAAAAATGTATACTTCGTGTTCACGAAATTCCACGTAGAGGTCCGTCTCTGAATATATATATATATATATCGATCTACGCGCACGTGAATGTGAGTTCATTATTTTTAATAACCAGTAGTAAGTCCCGGCCTGCCACGCCTCCATTACATCCATACGTGCGTCTGGACTACGAGTGTTAAGAATGGTTGACGCCCCACTCACCCCATATATATATATATATATATATTTAATATATGTCTATCATTTTATGTATACACACCGACGTGTAACCTAACATTTTATCATTTTTCTACCTTTAACACTTAATTTTTCAAAAATATTATCTAGATTCAAATTTTCTTTGTTTAATAGCTGAATTATTACAACTAACAATGTTCATATCAGAATTATTAGTTAAATCAGTTTCTTTTGAAACATTAATAGTTANATTTTCAGCGATATTTTTACTAGAATTAGTTGAAGTTCCTACTATTTAATATTAGTAAATGATTTTCAGATTAAATCCAAATTACATTATTTTATTTAAATAAAGTAAAACCTCTATTTAACAAACTTTTTTTAAAGTTCTTTAAAAAAAAATTGTGAAATTGAAATTTTGTTAAAAAGAAATAATACCTTTTTTAATTTATAAAACTCATTTTTAGTGTACAAAATGCATTTAAATAATAATATTATATAATATTTAATTTGGTAAATCAATAAATAATATAACAAAATTGGTCTAAAATACAATAAGTACCAAATTACATTATTAATAATGTTATCGGTTAACTATTTGTGATTAAAGAATAATAAACATATATTTTTCTGAGTTTGTTTCTATTACACCTTTAGTTCTTTTTTGGCTCTTTTGACGAAATATCCTGTATTCCTGTTACTGAACAACTTTTATACCATTCTGACTATAAAAATACTCGCACCTATTTAAATAAGTCTGATTGATAAGTGAGTACCTACTTAATAAATATAAAACAAAAGTTTTTAAATTTGTTATAGAAAATTAATTCATTAAAAAGAAATTTTTTTTTTGATAAATAGAAACATTTTTGAATAAAAATTTATGATTTCACAAAACATTTGTTATATAAAGTTTCGTTAATAGAACTTTGTTAAAGAGAGGTACCATTATTTGAGCTTACAATAAGGTAATGTATACCATTTGCTTTTATTAAAAATTTATCCATTGTTAAAGTTCGTGGTATAAAACGTAAAAATAAAAAAAAAACTATTACTAAACACTTAACTAGTAAACTATAAGGAGTATAAGGAAATATTTAGGTAATACCCTGTGATAGCGTTAAAGTTGATAGTGCGACTGTATAGACGTACAAAAATTGGCAGTGACTAAAATATATTCTATAGTGTTTGGTTAGTAAAATTAGTATTATCTACTAGCTAGTATTATAGCAGTGTTGCATGCGGGTTATTCTTAGATAGTAGATAAATACTAAAAAAAAAAATTTTTGTATTTTTTTTATATAGTATACTACCACAATCGTTCATTACCGACCAAGCCGATAAAAAAAAAAATTGCACAAAATATTGGTTACTGTGTACTAATCTAAATACTAATTATTCTAAGGCAGTGGTACTAACTGTGTGATAGTGTAGAATATAGATAGTAATTAAAATGTAGTTTGATAGAAAACCATTAAAAAAAAAAGATATGAAGCTATAAAATCATACAAAATATTATAAAGGTTTAATTTGAATAATACACTCTTTTAGGGGCGGTGTTGATGATAACCACTACAGGTATGGTTTCCCAGCCGCGACCTGTGCAATGCCACAAAAATTTGTCGCTGGGATAGGTGATAGTACTGGTCTGAGAGCAATATAAAAGTTTATCCTGTATAACAAAATTTTCATCAGCAGAGAAAGAACTCCCTATTGAGGAAATTAGAAAAAATTAATCAATTTATGCTCTTACTCATTAAAAATATAAAGACAACATTCATAAGTCTTCTATTTTTCTATCCAGAAATAAGCTGTCTATTTTTGTTTCTTTTTATCATGTGTAATTAATAATTCATCTTCCTCTTCCTCAAATAAAAGTAAAATAATTGTATTATTATTTATAACAATCATATCCAAATCTTAACTTGAAAAACAAAAATACAAACATTTTCAAAATACAAATAGTTAAAAGATACTGCAGAATACGGCTATAATTTATCACTGTCCTGTCTAGGAAACTAGTCAGACCATAATAGGTCACACCTAGGAAACCGTACCTTTAAGGAACAGACATTGTTTTCATAAATAGACTTACAATTAAGAGTTGTTCATATATCTGCACTGGGTTACAATTATTTTAAGTTAAAATAGTGACTAATATATCAGTAATTATAATAAATAAATATTCAATTAGATACCTACTTGCCTATATAGTTATATTTTATAAGTTGAATGAAACTGTCATTTATTAAACTACATTTAAATTTTTAGATGTAGCTACAGAAAAGACCTAAAAAACCATCATTGAAGCGCTCATTGACAACAAGTCCGTGCGAAAAATGACCGCGACTTGCTATCGCAACATATTTTTTCTGATGTGTTTTACTAAACCCAACATGTCACTTAGAAAATGATCNGAAATTGTCATTTATTAAACTTCATTTAAATTTTTAGATGTAGCTACAGAAAAGACCTAAAAAACTATCATTGAAGCGCTCATTGACAACAAGTCCCTGCGACCAATGGCCGCGACTTGCTATCGCAACATATTTTTTCTGATGTGTTTTACTTAACCCAACATGTCACTTAGAAAATGATCAACAAAAATTGGTGCATAAAAGATTATTCTGCTAGTAACAAATGGAATTTTATTCATCACTAAGTGAGTGTATTTATTTTAGCTGTAACAAGTGCACACTGAATAATAATAAATGTCTATTAATCTGTTAATTACATAGTATTATAATTTCATAATACCATGTACACGAATATATAAATAAGTAAAATTTAAGGATAAATGCAAAATAAAAACTTGACAATTTAATTTTGCCAAATTTAATACACAAAATTCCATTCCATTTTGCACAGATTTCCGAATGTCATATTAACATTAACTTAAATTTTTGGAACTAGTTTAATAGAATGTAATAAACATGCAATGGCTAACTGAATATTATTTTGATTTTTATTATAAACCATTTAATGCACTGTACTTAGTTTTATTATTAATTTAAATTATTTTTTTTTCGCTCATTAGCAAATGTTCAGTTTAAATTTATTGTTCCTCAACATTCAATTATTATTGTACACTATGTGTTATATTATAAATATTACAAAAGACTCAGTAGTTTAGTAATTATTATCATTTAAATTCATAGTGCAATATTGTGGTCATTAGATTATTACATTTACTTACAACATAAAAAAATAAAAGTAATCCTTTTTCTTATAATTTTCAATTTTCTGTTCTTTAGGAAGACAATTCAGTGCCATCCAACAACAGCAGAATAAAAATGCCACCTATTCNTATGTCTTCAGAGTTCAACAATAGATGTCTTTTTAGTGAAGCTCTGTAATCATGAGGGTTGAATTCTATATTGAAATGTGATTTGCTTATAATTGTAAACATGTAGTATAATATCAAAATTCCACTGTTAAATAAATCTCTTTGTTTTGGAATATTAACAAATATTGAATAAATTGTTTTATTGGAATTCTACCTTCGAAATTAGAATATGATTACATTTTTTTCTACTAATGTCTACTACTGTGTCAAATTTATGAATACTATTTTCTAATGATTTTCATTAATTAGCCATTATACAATATCCATACTGTTCTCCTTAAAAGTAATTGTCTTATCAAATCGTTATCTGACCTTTGTTTTAGCCATCAACAAATTCGCTGTATTAACTGTTAGAATATGTGTTGTCTATTATACCAAGCTGTCTAGCATATTGACATCAAAAACAAAGTTGTACAGATCATTGTTTTCTGTTAATGTGTTAAAAGCTGCAATGTCCAAGTTTATGGGGATATCTGAATTTATCTCGTTCCTTATGCAATCATGTGCCAACTATAGAGTACTTGTTACTATTTTTCCCTGGCCACTTTTCAAGTTTATAGTATGTTAAATCCTAAGGTAGGCCATTCTTATAATGATTTTCTGATCTTTCAGTTCAATTGAATGGAGATTTAAAACTACCAGTTGTTGAAGTCGATTTCTTTGTACCATTATCTGTATGGGACACACTTGAGTCCATTTGAATTTCTATAATGCAACTTTCTTTACTATATATATNTTTTTTTGATCTTCCTCATAACCAATAGATTTTTAAAACTTTAATGGTCAATACTTGGACAGTAATAGGCGTTTATTATGTGGTTATTCTTTTTTCCCCAAATATTCTATAATGTGAAGATGATTTAGAATATTTTCACTTGTATTTTTTTCATCAATTTTTGATTTATTTAAATTCTGGATTTTGGGTACCTTTGGTTTATTTTCAAAATCGATCACCCCTATACACTAATTTTTCTAAATTTTGTAAGTCATTTTTTTATGAGTATAATGTTCCTTGGTAGATCTCAAAAATCTGCTACATTTCAGTCTGTGATCACTGTGTAACATGTTTATTTTAAAAGTTTTGAACCAAGATTCAACTGTAGTGTTACTCTGCTGATTTTAAACTCCATTATTAACTTTATTATTCACAATGGATGTCCAAAGCGAAAAGAAGGGTATGAATTTGGTGACAAACACTTGTAAATATGATTCTTTAAAATAATCATTATGATTGCATCGCTACCTTTACTCTTTTGTCTGATATCACTTTCAATGTTCTCTTTAATTGACTAAAATTTGCAATACATCATAGATTTATCGGATTCATCAGGTGACTGATAATTAAAATTAGAATTGGTTTTCATAGTAATGTTTAGTTTCTTCAATTTCACAGGGAGACAAGATTATAAAGGCAAATTGTCTGAACCACTTTTCTATATCTTCCAAAGTTATAGTGTTAAAGAGTATACATATCCAATTGATAATTTGGTTTTTATTTTGAATTCTTGCTACTGCTCGACTCAGGTTGATAATATTTATAAACATGGTTCACTATTATTTTTGTGTAATGATTGGTGCAGACATCTATTGCTGTAACATTTGACCCATTAATGTTTTCAACTTATACTCTATAACACCAGTTCAAGTAGTCAAATATTGATGTAAAACCATTCCAACCAATGCTCAAAGCATTCATTTGTACATAACTGAAATCAGTAACTATATTTGAAAACACTGGCCAATTCAGTTAGTATTTTAAAACATTTAAATCTGTTGAGCCCTTTAGATAATGCTACTATGTTATATGTTGAACTAACCATTTGGCAACTGGACATGTCGCATTTGAATTTGTAGGTATCGGGAACTATGACATAATATAAAACCCTCTTAATATTTTTGTCACTTTTCCTCAACTAATGTACCAGTTGCATCCATGTATCCAGTTAAAGTGCTTTTTATTTTGTTTATTTTCTTTAAAATATCTAATTGTTGATTACTATAATAATGTACCGACACAGCAAACCAACAAATTTTACATAGTCATAATCATTAACACACAAGGCTTCTGATCTGATTTTTCTAACATCATCTGACTTGATATTCTGCAAATTCCACAGTTCAACTGAATAGGTGTGGCCATGTCAATTGTATCAAACTTGAAGTTAAACGCTTTCATTTTTTCTAATTATTCTCTGAATAAACTACACTGAAACCCTTTTACATGGTTAGTGAGATCATTGTCCTATGGGTTTTAATGGTAACTTATCCCAGAGCTGTATACAAAAACCACAGTTTTGTTAGGATTTGCTTAAAAAGCCTAAACATTTTACATCCAGGATGACTATAGTACATGTAAAACAACGGGTTTTTAAATATATAATCCTTTTCGAATTGACTACACATGTATTGTTAACCATACTTATGCGCTTTGGATGTATTGTGTTTAATCATAAATGGCCATTTTCATTTTTAATTATGATTTCATTTCATAATTCTTTTGATATCATAAATTTCTTTTCTAAAAATGAACATTCTTTAAAGTAAAAGTTTACTGAATATTGATTTTTTGGTGTTGTGTCAATAGAACACCAGACTTCACTGGTATCCTCTTAAAATACACATACCTTATAAGAGATGACACTAGAGTATATTTTTTAATAGATTTCTTGCAAGGTGTCATGATTCTAACACAAAAGTATCTAATTGAATTAGAGTGCTGTGGATTATAAGGTCTTCAATAGTTTGAGTAAATTCACTTTCAGAAAAGGGAGTAATGTGTTAACATTATTTTTATGCACAAGTTCATTATTTGTACAAATATAAATACAGTCATTGTACTTAATACTCCAGTATGCATAAAACTACTTAAATTGGTATTTCTCAAAATACCCGAAATTTCTAAGATTGTTTTCATTTTCTTATACATTTTTAAACAGTTTGATTTATTATTTTTCATTTTCGAGTTTTGTGTTTAATATTTATTCAGAAGATACTCTGTAGTAAAATTGTTAAACTTCATAGAAGTGCTTGAAAATTTAACAGGTGGTTCAAAATTGTTACTGATGATAAATCAACAAGAACTAATAAACCTTATGAGGAAGCTGTGCGATGTCTTATGTACCTAATGACACACGTGTGTCTAGATATTAGTTTTGCAATAAATATTCTAAGTCGCCATCAGTTTGATGCATCAGATGTCCATTGGTCTTCGCTGAAGAGAGTGCTTATCTAAAAGGTACTGAAAATTTATGTTAAGTATACTCGGTTAAACAAATTTGTAATACATTTGCTGGGTATTATGATACTGATTTTGCCAAGTAATACTGAGCAAAGAAATTCAACTACTGGGTAAATTTTTCAATTTTTTGGATCAATAATTGTCTGGTCTAGCCGCAAACAATTAACAATTGTTATTCTATCAAGCACAGAAGCAGAGTATACAGCGTTGGCGAACACAGTTAGTGAATATTTATGGATTAGGAGTATGTTAAATGAAATGCAAATATTGAACCTTGCTGTGCCCACCTCAATCTATGAAAATAAGCCTGTGATAATGGAAATTAAATCAAGTATTTGCTAACCACAGATCAAATTGGTGACATTTTTACAAAATCATTACCTTTATTAAATACCTTTAAAAAATGTATTAGTTTATATTAGTTAAGTCTGTCATTGTGATTTAAAAAAAAAAAAACTATGTATAAATATACATAGATTTTTTTTTTAAAATTTTTTTTACTTTGTCAATTTATTCTTTACAATTTATCTAAACNTTAAAAAAAAAAAAACTATGTATAAATACATAGATTTTTTTTTTAAATTTTTTTTTACTTTGTCAATTTATTCTTTACAATTTATCTAAACAATAACATTTAATTATTTTTACTTTATTTATTTTATATAAATTATGTTATCTATTTGTTTAAATTGCCTTTCATTTAAATTTTTAAAGTGTTAAAAGAAAAACTCTAGTTTAAGTGGAAGTGTTAAGTAGGCAGTACTGTGTAAACAGATTTTGTCTTTATACATTATATAGTAATGTGTATTACCTTTAACAAATTATTATTTTGTGTTAGTTAATTATTACGAATATTGTTTTAGTATGTGTTCTTTGCTACAACAATATGTAACGTATTATTCTAGTTAAATATCTCAATAAATAAAGTTGTAATAGCTTGTAAGAAAATTTCAAAATAAGTAATAAAATATAACAATTCAATAACATAATAACAATTACAAACATTATTATTATTATTATTATTATTAATTAGTGTATTATGCCAATTAGCATTTTGAAAGTGGTACAAATGAGAAATTTCAAATAATGCTAATGTTACTAAAACTAAATGTGATTAACACTATAAGAGGAACATACATAATTAGAATACAAGAAATACATAATGCATAGTATTAATTTAAGCCTCTATTTTTAAATTTCCATACTTAGCATTAAATGGTATACAAATAAAACATACTTGTACTATGCTTGAAAGAAAAATTACTAACATTATCAAAAAGCCATTACAGTTAACATTAACTTCCTTCTTGAGCATGTAAAAATAGTCTTCATCCTCTTGACTGATCAAAAATTCTTGTTGTTTCAACGCAAAATTTATGTTATTTTGTATTATATTTAAAATAGTCTGAAAAAAAAATATTGAAATAGTAAATGCAATTTTTAATGATAAATTGTTCAACACAAATATTCATTGATATATTGTATAAAAATCATAAAAACTCACTGTAACATTTTTAAAATTTAAATTAGTTTCTCTTATTTCTTTGATTTCAAACTTATCATACCTATAACATATATATATATAAAAAGTCATTACAGTCATTATATTCTAACATACTAAGATTCTAAGATTCAAGGTGTTTCTATAGCTTATATTTCTTTTCAATCATTGTTTGTTTTTACTATATTAACCATTTTACTATTTTACTTTTAGATAATACAACTTTAGATTCCTAATGTAGCGAGGAAGATAGTGGTTTTACCTAGATGTTTATTTTTTTATTATTTCTTTGTTCTAGTCTGTTGACATGTTTTTTTCTAGTAAACTTGATCCGATTTTTATGTGTAGCAACTTTTCTAAAAGCTCAAGTTGTCTAGATGGTACTTTAAAAAAATCATTATTTTTAATTTTGACACTATTATTTTAAATAAAAACACTTAATTGGGAAAAACGTAGGAAAACTTACAAATTCACTATTTCATTATATTATAAAAACACGGAACACGTTTTCTACCAGCAAAAATGATTTAATTGAAAAATTAAAAAACACATTTTTTTGTAGACTATTTAATTCAATTTCTGCAGTGTGTTCTGTAACTTAGTTTTGAAACTTTTATCAGTTTTACCTATGTATATTTTAATACATTCACTATGTAATTTTTATACACCTGGGTTATCATATTTATTAATTAGGTGATTATTATGTTTAATATTTTTATTATTTAGGGACTTCATTAGTAATTTTTATTATAGATATTATTCTTATTTTGGTTTTTAATATTAAAGTGTATTTTGTTAATAGTTTTTAAATTATAACTATTAACCATTTTTTGATTTTCTCAGAAATCTTCTTGTTAAATGTCAAAAATGTGGTCATTTTTAGGTTTTCCTAAGAGTTTTCCCAAAAAATATGAAAACTGTGAAAATCAGGACAATTTTAAACAAATATTATTAAAGAAAATATATAATGCCTATTTAAATTATTTTACCATTATATTTCATACAGGGTGATCCATTTAAGTTGGTACACTCATTATCTCGGAAAGTATTAACTTTTTTCGGAATTTATTTTCTAAACATTTAAAGAACAAGCTGCTCTACAATTTTATATTTATATTATTTTTTGTCACCCTTTTTTTTGGATGTAAAACTACTATCTACTTTTGATATTTATATAGATAATAAATGTGGTAAATAAATTTAAAAAAATTAACAAACACATACAATTAACAATTGAATTACAAACCAATACAAAAATAAACTTTTTAGACCTAAACATTAATACAATTTATAATACATTTGAATTTAATATTTATATAAAACCTACACGACTCATGTTAAATACAATACTTTATGACTCTAACCATTCTAATTAATTCTAAACCATCCTAATAGCTAATTATATGCCATTCTATGTTTTATCACAAAAACCTCTTCAAATACTTTAGTTTATTAATAGTTAATAATAATATGAAGGTTATTATGTTAAATTATATTATAATCTCTACTTCTATGCTGGTTGGCAAATGTATAAAGAACAGTTTTATCACTGTTGTTTTAATAACCTATAATTATTTAACCAAATAATTTTTTAAACTTTTAACATTAGATGACTCATTTATACACCGAACAATTGTGTTTGAAAAAAAAAATCATAAATATTGATAGGGTAAAACTTCAGATATAACTATCCCACGAAATCACCTCACGTTTTAATAATAAAATACAATAGATGGGTTTAAATTAATTTTAAGAATGCAGTAGATAGTTAATATTAATAATTATAATTGGCCATAAATTTTAAATAGAACATTCTAATTTAAAATAATATTAAACCAACCTAATAACTGAGATGTACACATTAACCTTTTTGGCATCAAACTTTGAAAATGTATTATCAACACAAACGCTGTAACTGCCGCCTGTGGAGTATGGATCTTGAAAATTTAAACTTGCTTTCTGTTCATATGAGTGGACGATTTGACCGTTTGGGTGTTTAACAGTAAAACCGACCATTTCACCTTCTTTCACAACCTAAAAGAAATGTAAATTATTTATTTAACACATCTTTATAAAACCAATACATTCATCGCTTCACTCAGAATATAAAAATAAAAAAAATATGGATAGGTACTTGAGCGTTGACATAAAATGTTGCTCCAGGGTTAACAAACTGAAAATAACATTCATCTTTGCCCGGTTCAATGATTACTTTGAAGTCCACCGCAAGTGTTGGTAAATATTCATACCATGGTAGAGTTGGTACATCTTGTGGAGTTGGTCCAAACTGTTGTTCTTGTGGTAATGGTATTGACTGTGCTTTGGTAATAGCACAATGAATTGTACTGTAAGCAAGAATACAAACAAATAGTAAATAAAACCTAATGAAAACATTTTTCTCTTGATGTCTGTTGATCATAGTGGCGAATGTTTTTCGAGATATATCCGAAAACAATAACCACAGTAATCTTAATATTCAAATTGAATATTTTTTTTTTATTTTTTTGGAACAAAATACAAATAACTTTCTCTCAATCGATTTGCAGATGCCTACAGACAATAATACACAACCGGACGACAGTACAGTACACACAACAGTAATACCTAGGGTGCGTTCGTGTGGCACGCTTAGACGCTCACGGGGCTGATGCCCGGGGTCGTGAACTCCTATTCACCTCCAGATAGGCAAAAGTAGTGCCAATGTACGAATATTGAAAGTACTCAACAGTCACCATTTGGAATGTTCTATATTTTAATTCGTTGGTAGTAAGAATTTAATGTTATTACCTGTTATAGAAAATTAATACTTTGTTACGTGACAAATTACATTTACAATTTACAATTTTACAATAAATTCAATTTATAATGCCGTCACCAAAATGTGTACTGAAAAGCTGCAAAAGTCGGAATGTAATTATGAAACACCGCTTCCCAAAAATCGTGTGACACGATTTGTAGTGGGTTGAGAGGTTTGGTAATCCGAAATTACTGACCATGAAACCTAAGCAAATATTTAAAACTTATTTGGTCTGTGATCTTTATTTTGATGCAGATTTTCATAGTAATGGGACAATATTGTTGAATATATTGTAGAATTTAATCGTATTTTACCACATTCATTTTAGACTGTAGCGAAGAATGTATTGGTTTTACAAAGATTTTTTTTTGATTATCCAAGCGGTTTTCATAATAACTAGGAAAAACTAAGATAAAACGTAAGAAAAACAGGAAATGTTTTAAGTCTCTAAGTGTATTTATAACCGAATTGCAGCAAAAAACTCTAAAAATCAAAACTCCTTTAAAGCTCAAAAGTTTTGGCGATGATACCATAAGAAAGTAAATAAAAAAGATAACAAAATATGTGTCTTTTAATTTTTCGATTATATCATTAAATAAACATCTAGGTAAAATCA